TGTATAGCTATGTATCGTGATAATATCGTATCGTGGGGCCTCTTGTGATTCACACCCCTACCATAAAGTGTCTTGTCTGCCTTTATTATCAAGACTGAGAGTCATGCAAGCAGCACTGTGCAGCTGTAATTAGGCATAGAGGTGCTTTAAGCTAAATGCTAATAGGTATATTGTTAATCATGCACTCAATAATATTAGTTAAGTGTGTTGACATGCTGATGTTTGCTAATTAGCATTACACAAAAAGTACAGCTGAGGCATGACCATTCATTCATTCATTTTCCAGAACCACTTATCCTGTGGAGGTCACAGGGGGCTGGAGCCTTTCCCAGCTGCCATTGGGTGAGAGGCAGGGTACACCCTGGACAGGTCACCAGACTATCACAGGGCTGACACATAGAGACAGACAACCATTCACACTCACATTCACACCTACGGACAATTTAGAGTCACCAATTAACCTGCATGTCTTTGGACTGTGGGAGGAAGCTGGAGTACCCAGAGAAAACCCATGCTGACACAGGGAGAACATGCAAACTCCGTACAGAAGGGCTCCCCCACTCTGAGTTTGAATACCCCACAAAAGGTTTTTTTTTTTACTTTGATAAAAAATACTTCTACCTAAGTAAAGCATCTGAATCCTTCCTCCACCTCTGGTTAGTGCAGATACAAAGTCCAGTTTTATGACCTGAAAACACACCTAGCACCAGATGTGCCCTCGCAGCATATTCATAAATATTAAACTGGGCATGGCCTCTTTATGCACTCTGCAGTTTATAGCCTCAGGAGGTGCAATGCAGAGATGCTTCTTGACCTTGGAGGGCTCAGGAGAACGGCTTAAGATAATGGCGTCTTTGAGTAGTCCTCCTACTGTGGGACCGCTCGACTTCTGTAAGCTCTCTGTGTTAACACAAAGTTTTACTCTCGTCTCTTTACACACGATAATGCATTTTCACTCACAACTTCTTTTCCTCTGTCGTCTGCCACACAGGAGAGAGGTGAAAGTAAAGTTTGTGAAATTTGTTACTGGCATAGGGAACTATGTAGACTTAAACCTTCTACTGTAGACAATCAGGACATACTGTGGACTGTGCTGAATGGATCGCAGTTGAATATTAAAACTGTCTGTGATGTTTGCAAACTCTTTTGCATATCAAGCTTGATGCTAATTCTAATGCGAGCGGAGAAAAGAAAAAGAGTCAGAGGTGGAAAAGCCATGTGCACAAGGCAGAGTGCGTGAAAGGCAAGTGCATGGAGATTAGGGATCGAGGCGTTCCTGGGACAGGGAGATAAGGTCCCTAAAACTCCTCTCTGTGTATCAGGACTGCTGTATCTGCCGTTTTTGCATACTAAGTTGCACCTAAGACAAAATAATTAAAAATACATGTTGTTTTTGTCTGCGTCTCTCTCTCTGTCTCCCTGTGCCTCCGATTCATTTCTGGCAGCGAGACTGAACTGAAAGTTTTATTACGCACAGAAAGAAATCTGTGTTAAACCACCTCTTTACCACATGATAGACTTTCTCCTCTCTGGTCTTCTGTATCCAGTGGCCTTCAGTCTGCTGCAGCTTTGAATGGATCAGTCTACAGCAGAGAAAGTGTATAGTGGTTTCCAAGCTTTTTATTTGACCTGTGCATTGACCTCTTATTGACCACAGTCCAATTTAAGTTGAAGTCTTAACACACAAACGCATTCAGTCAGATGTTCTTGTATAGTCCTGCTTTGGTGTACAAATTTCTCTACAACTTAAAATGGAGGCTGTAGTGCAGAATAATGAACACATGCCTCTATGTGGGCAGTTTTTGGTTTCATCAGGTTGTTACAGCCACAGTGACTTAAATGAACTGTAGTGTTTGAATGGGTAGGGGTCAGAGCCTTGTTTGGTTATAAAACCAAGAGGAGGGATGATAATTGAGTTTCATTAGTGTTCTTTTGGATAACTGGGGAAGTGAAAGTCGGTGAAATAGCTGAACAATTTTTTCCTCTGCAGTCCTAGAAAACCGCTGTATCTCTGTCTCTAATGTCTTTAAGCTAAAATAGTTTGGATCTTTTGAAGTAGGGTTGTATGAGGTACTTATCCATAGTCAGTGTATTAGTCGGCACGCCCCCAGTTTGGAGAAGCAGGCAGGAGCACCGACACAGAAGCAAAGCAGTGCACTGATGTGGAGGGGTCAGCAACAAAACGTATTTTAGCCACCTAAAAAAAATCAATATCACTTTAAGTGTAAGCTGTATTTCGAATATTTTCACAGCTTTACCTTGCTGTCAGGCAGCTATTTCGGATTGGGAACTGAATTAGTTTGAAGGAAGGTATTAGCACATACAACTGTCTCAAATATCACTTGAGTCTTTGAACAGAAAATCCTGCACGCTGCTCTTGCTCAGCTTCACAATTTATTAGTAACACTAATGTTTCAGTCCTCCTCAACCTTCATCAAGAGTGTTCAACTCTGTTTTTTCCAACATTGAGCTTAACTAGAAACTGCTCCACCCATTTCACAGGTGTGCACAGGTGTGGGAGGATTAATCAGCTGTGGATGTGTCTCTCAATAATTGACAGCAGCCTGTGCCCCATATGTCACACATCCCACAATGAAAGAACAAGGGAACAAGAGAAAAATAGAAAAAACCTAGAAAACCCGAGCTCCTTAGATAATAAAGGCTATTTACAAGATTATTTACAAAAAATGCTGATGTTATGAATGAACACACCAGCCTTGCTGCTTTTATAAATCATTAAAAAAGTTCAACATTGTATACTCTTGTGCCGTGTATCATAAATTGGCCAAGCAGGACCTTGACCAGTCCTAAATCTGTTCGGGAACTGCCCATTGGTCCGACCATATTAAACCCATTGTTCCGAAGTCCGTTCCGAAATCATCATGATGCCCTGTGGTTAAGGTCTGGTTAGGTTTAGGCACANTGCCCATTGGTCCGACCATATTAAACCCATTGTTCCGAAGTCCGTTCCGAAATCATCATGATGCCCTGTGGTTAAGGTCTGGTTAGGTTTAGGCACAAAAACCACTTGGTTAGGGTAAGGAAAAGATCAAGGTGTGGGTTAAAATGAAAAAGAAAGTAACAAACACATAAGCTGTGAGCCTGCTTCGCCTCAAGCCTTTCCCAGCTGACCCAGAGCCGGTCGCGGCGCACCATCAAGGTAGAAATACGCCAGCCAGGAGCCGTTCAGCACCGCGGAGCGTCGGACTAATGGGATGTCGGACCAATGGGCTGTCGGACCAATGACATGGACCCATCTGTTCAAGGTGGACCACTGTCTCCTTGGGAGGTTGGTGCCAGAGACTGGTTCAGTCGGGTCTGACACTAGATGTTTGTTTGGGATGTCTTTGGATTCCCATTCAGTCACACAGGCAGACAGGGCATCAAAGTCAGTGGGTGGGGGGTCCTTCCAAATTGGACATCTAGATCGGAGACGAGCAAGTGGTGGGTTGAAGATGTCAGCGTGGATTGGTAAATGGGGGGAGTCATTGACCTTTTGGAGCATCCTATAGGTGATGCTCCATATCCATTATAGCATGACATGCCATGGTATCACATAATTTAATCCTTTGGGAGATGGTGTTTGCAGATTAAATATCCAGTACACTTCTCCTCTGCTAAGTATTTCTTCAATGTTGCCACCTTTCTCTGGCAGAGTAACTTTTTCAATGCCCTGGAACCTAAATTATGAGATATTGTGTATGTCATTGAAATCAGATTGAAATCTGCAGCTAATCTCTATCATTCTCTTTATGGAGCTCTTGTGTTCACTTATTCTCTGTCTCAGTGCATGTGATGTTTTACCATGTTGCGTAAGGAGCTTGATCTCACACCTGTGCATAGCTGTGAAATAGGTTTCTTTTCATAATAATAATAATGATAATACATTTTATTTATAGAGCGCTTTTCAAAGTACTCAAATATGCTTTATATTGGTTAACAATGATCACAAAATGGACTAAAATACACACAACATCTTTCACACGTTAAAAGCCGTTTTGAAAAAATTTGTTTTGAGTAGTGATTTGAAGCGGGACAGGTCACTGCAGTCTCGAATGTGTTTGGCTCTTTCGCCATAGGTTCGGTGCTTGATCCTGAGTGGTGGAGTTAGGAGGTTAGCAGCAGAGGAGTGAAGACTGCGGGAAGGAGCATGGCAGTGGAGCAGGTCAGTGAGGTAGGAGGTGGTCTGGTTATGGAGGGCTTTATGAGTGAGGAGAAGGACTTTGAATTGGATGTGTTGTGGGACAGGAAGCCAGTGGAGGTTTTGAATGACAGGGGTGATGTGATCGCGGCATCGGGAATGGGTGAGCAGACAGGCAGCAGAGTTCTGGATGTATAAGCTCAATGTTGGAAATAATGGTGTTGAACATTGAACGTAAGTGTAACTACTAAGCTGAGTAAGAGCAGTGTGTGGGATTGGGAACTGAAGCCATTATGTTGCTCTCCTCAAAGCCAGACTCCATTGAGAAAAACAAGAATTTAACATTGCTGAACACAGGAGCTGCTGGTCTACCTCTACCTCGATCAGTTAGTTTGTTTATCATATTGTGAGGCTTTGGCATTTAAAGGGTTAGTTTGGATTCTCAGAAGTCCCACAATAACACAAATAAACTAAGTGATCGAGGCAGCGGTAGACCAGCAGCTCCTGTGTTCAACGAGCTAAAATGACTGTTTTTCTAAAAGGAGTCCGGTGGCTTTGACAAGAGTGTAGATGAGGAACTGAAGTTGTTAATGGCTTCCCTGTTGTAAAGGCTGTCTGTGGCACGGGAAAGCATTGACAATATTCTCAATATGGAGTACACCCCCATCCACAACAGTACATTGCTTAGCGTCCTTGGTGGTACACCTGTCTGCCTCTCTAAACTGGAGGCATGCCAACTGACATCTACTGTAGGTAATATGCTGAATATGGATAAATTCTTCATATGAACCCACTTCAGAAGATCCAACCTATCCTGCAAGTCTGTTTTGCACACATTTTAATCAAACAAAAGGCCACATTAGCTTCGTTTTTGTTTTATTTTCCCAATATTTGAAATGAAATGAAAAGGCAAATAATACAACACAGATTGAGAGAGACAAATAGACACGTTTGCATTTTTAATTAGATTTCCGGTGATTTTTTTGTCTTTCTTTTTTTTTTGCTGAAGAAGAAAACAAGAAAGCTCTCTCAAACTCCTGAGTCAGAGTGCTCTTCACATCACGTATAGCCCAATAAATTCAAACAGAAGACTAATAACCAGTAATTTCTTTACAGACCGAATATGACATTTATTCTGTTTTCTATAGCGTAAGAAAAACATTTACTGAATTAACTGAATCCAACACATTGCTGCTTTGCTTAAAATTAACCAGTGTCTCAGTTTCTAAAATGAAATTTATACCACGGTGTAAAGATCAGAAAAAAACAAAAAATTCCATTACACCCAGCAGCTGTTGAGGGCAACATCTTTGAGAAGTCGGCAGCTTAATGCTTCTGCTGGAATTAAAATGGCTCCATGATACGACAGGTTGTCTCTAAGTGTTGAATTTTAAATCTGGAGTGAAAACATGTACTGCGTGACTCAGGCTGAGAGAGCACTTGTCGGTGCCAGACAAACTGTAGGCCAGCACTGCAATGTCAGAGAGAGGGCAAAAGCAAATAAAAACCAGAGCTCTGCTAGTAGAGAGATAGAGAGCACTCCAGTGAGACTGGTTGACTTTAACACAAAATAAAGCCTGCACATAATGCTCCAAATATTAACACATTCACACAAATAATGACAAATGGCAAAGTATTTACCATATAGAAGTAGAGTATCTTCACCTGTGTGTGTTTGTATATGTGCATGTGTGTGTGTGTGTGAGTTATGCGGGGCTGGAGCCACTGAAATCTATTCATCATTTCCCTCATGCACTCTGTAAACTTCCCGCACGCCGCTCACTTATGCGAACACTCAGCGACTGGTTTGGAGTCAAAGTGTTGCTCTACAGCGATGTTTCGCTGACATTCATGGGCTTCCATCATTGTGGGACAACGCTGTGACTGGCCAAGCAGCGAGTCGTGGCATGACTTGGCAATATCTTTTTGGATTGCAGCCATATTCATAGAATTATGGCTGACATGCCGGAGCATTTTGTTTAAAAAGGGACACACAAAAGCTGAGATTGCAGCACTGTAGAGGCACAAAAGCTCAATACTGTAGCCTCAGTTTATTTCTTAGGGTGACGCATTCAAATAGTTTCTGCCTTTATCAGGACCTTGGCGGAAACACTCCGAGTAATTATTTGATCTGTGTTGTCAGGTTTATGTATTTCAGTCAGGCTATATTGAAAACGTCCATCCAGTTGAGTCAAGCTGTTCTGACATAAATAAAAAAACATACCATCTATGTCATTAAATCAAATAAATCTGAGATAAGTAGACCATAAGAATTTAATTTACTGTAATAAATTTGATTTAATTACTGTTAAAATAATCAGTGTATTTTGAACAAGTTGGTGAACATCCACATATTTAAAAACAAAAAATAAAATTTATTAACTTAATTACATAACCTTCACTAAAGTAAATAAGGTAAATGCTATCATCACAATTCTATCGTCTCATCTCAGTTTTATTTGATTTGATAACATAAATGGTGCTTTTTTTGCATATGTTAGAATTACTTGGGTCAATTGGATGGAAATTTTATATGTAGCTTAAATTCGGAAACTTGACAATAGATGAAATAATTTCCTTAAGTGCACGCCAACCTGAGAAATCGAACGGTAAACTGACACTAGAGTACTGAAATTTTTCTGCTTCTATTTGGTCACCATTTTGTCAAATACTAGAGCTGTCCCAAATACCATTTTTGGGGCTTTGAAGCTTCAGCGATAATCAACTACCAATATTCAAAGTTTCAATGGTACGTGATGGGACCACCTGAACCTGACTCTACGAGTGATGGGAAGAGAAGTCAGACTATTGCACACAGTGTTTCTGTAACTTATTAATAACTCGGAAAGCCTGGGTTGGGCCGCATCACTACATGCAAAGCTTCAAAGCTTCAGTAGTAAGTACCCACGAATATTCAAAGCTTCAACAGGACGTGACAGGACCCTGGGTGATGGGGATCATATGCGCTAGGAAACCACCCAAACTCGAGACAAGTTTAGTAGGATGTGGTGCTTTCAGTAACTTATTAGTAACTCAGACAGCCACGTGTCGAGCCACATCACTAGATGCAAGAAAAGCACTTCACTACAGTTGCCAGTTGTGGATAATGATGTGTTTTGTTTCACCTGCTTTTTTTCCCCCCTCGTCCGACGGCCAATTTAATGCTTGAAGCAGGGGTCAATGACGATGCTGAGGACACAGGCTTCATTTGTGTCAGACACTTGCCACTTCCTTTCAGTTCCCTTCACCAGTTTACTGGTGAAAAAACCAAACAAAGCATTTGAATACTGATCTGGACATCATTTACCATAGCAATGACTGAAGCTTTGAAGCTTGAAGCATTTGGGTCAGCCCTGTTGAATACCGCTTTAAATAAAAGAAAATAACGGGAGTTATTATTTAAGGTGGTTTAGTATTGCACTTCCATAAGCAGGGGGATTGTGAGAGAATTTAGTCCCTTGAAGTCGAGCCCCAAAATACACCTATCATACACTTGCCATAACTCATCTTGATAGATTGCAGGGTAAAGCCAAAGCTGAGATAACCCTGATGACATCACCAGGGTCATTTTCTCACACTTTAGAAATCCAACTCCACAGCAGACATCATAAAAATGGTTCCACAGGCTGTGTAGTATTCCAGATTTGATTATTTCATTTGCAAAATCTGTGGAGTGCTCCTTTAAGTTATTGACTCTTCAAACTTCTTTTCGTCCCAGCCCTAGTGGTTTGTTTGTTTGTGTCTGTGTGAGCACTTGCGCATAATTTCAGATTGCTGTCCAGCTGTCGGCTCTCCATATTTGATTTGATTTAATCTACGTAAGACAGCTCAGGTCGCTCGGGTGGTCGGACACAGACACACACACTCAGCGTGTATTTCTGGCCTTTTAACTAGCTGACACCTGGCAGGGGTGGCAGAAGGCTGTTAACATTTTAAACCTCTGGCAGATCTGTTTAATTCAGAGAGCTCGAGTCCTCAGACTGGATCACAGCCCAGTGAAGTGAGAGGTGGCGGAAGCTCGTTTGGCTGCCATTAGGGTGAAGCCAAGGGTGTTTGGCAGATAGCGAGGGCAGCTGGCGCCGTTGACAGGGGCCGACTAAGTGGCCTGAACCTTCTGCGAAAGAGCAGGAAGGATCAATAGGGCAACTCCTACACTACAGTGGCAGGAGCACTTGGATGGCTGTTTCATCCCTCTTGACATCATAAATCATGCTCGACTGTCTTTGCGTACGTGTGTATGGGACACAAAGAGAGAAAGATGGAAGGTGGAGGTAATGAACAACTACGTTTGCTTCAACAGAGGAGCAGAAAGAGAAAATACACACAACACATCTGCCTGTTTTCTTTTTTTTTTGACATGGGAAACACGCGCGCACACTCGCACACAAAATCAGCACTTTTTTTTTTGTTATTTTTTTTTACCAAAACATGAAGCTCAATTCCTCAAACCGAAGATACATTTCTAGAGAGATAATACATTCGTTCCAAGCGATGGCGATGAAGATTACAATATCTTGATAGAATAGACAAACAGATTAATTACTTCATGGCTAAAACCTGAGTTATTCCAAAGTATTTCCATATGAAACTGCACAACAATGCACATCAAAAATAAATGATGCATCATTATTTTCATATAGAGTATTATTTGCATGACTAAAGCTATGCTAATATATTAATGTGATATATACACACATCGACATATGGATTATTCATGTATATGTATGTGTCCGGGGTCGTCTGAGAGGTTCGGTCAAAACACAGAACCACATAATGGCAGGATGAGTTTCGGTGATTTTTCTGAAGCACATCAGCCTCAGAAAAATGTGTCTTTGCAACAGAGGTGTGACTAAAATGATATTTCGTTTTTTACACATTTGAATTTTTGATTTTCCTTTCAAACTCAGGAGGCAAAGGGAGTTGATGACTAAGACATGAACAGTCCAGACGTCTCTGCTATTTCCTCATTTTCTTTTATGCGTGTTTTCTCGGCCCTTGTTAGTCCCTGATCCTTTCTCTGAAAACGAGGAGGAGCTGAGGCACGGAGTAATTTAGTTTGTCTTCAGCCTCCTTGTCCTGCCTGTCATCCCTCCTCCTCCTCTTCTCTCAGTCCTCTCCAGGATGAAAGGAGGCGTGACTGTTTATATTGAGTTGACGGGTCGAGCGCTATAGTTGAGCAAGGTTCAGTCATTGGATCAGTTGTTAACAGTTGTTCCTCGTGGCACTGGGAGGGGGGGCTCTGCGGGGCCCGTCATCCGAGTTTCTTCGTCACAAAAACTCCTCATAGTCCAAGAGTTTGGAGTGCTGGCGCGTCTTCCAGAGTCGGTAGAGGCGGAAGTCGAAGTACATCTCAATCATCTCTTTGCCTTGATTGGTAAATGAGACAGGAAACGTTTGAGTCATTAAGGAAGCAGGATATACTGTAGTATGCACCAAAACTACAATCTTTCCCTAACCTTAACCAACAGCTGTGAGTGCCTGAACATATATGACTCATACTTTTGATGCTATGAGCAGATATTTGCAAATACATTAACATTTTGCAACTTTCCAGATTATGTTTAAAAAACACTTAAAAGGAAACCGCAGTTTTTTTCAATCTGGACCCAATTATCCTACGATTTTGTGTCTAGAGCCCCATTTCCACCAGACTCTTTCAGTATGGTACCTTTGGAACCAAAAGTAACACTTCAGACATGGTACCTAGACCTAGGGCTGCTCGAAAAAATGAAAAAAAATCCCAATTATTTTGGTCAAATTTGAAATCACAATTATGCAAATGATTATGCAGCGGACGTGACTTATTTACACGATGGCATGTCATTTCTGTCTCCACATGGTCGCGCGTTTACAATTCTCTTCTGCTCTCTGTATCGCGCACGGTGGAGTTCGGCCCTGATGTGCACAGATGCGCGGTTTCCAGGTGCGTTTGATTTACAACACAAGACAACGAGGGTAAACTGACAAGAAGCGCATAATCGTTTTATGTCAATTATTTTGTTTTCATAACCATTGAAAGCCCAAATCTAATCTAGATTAAAATTCGATTAATCGAGCAGCCCTACCTAGACCCTAGCATTCCCATCGCCAAACAGTACCCTTAAATGTGGGCGGGGTTGTTGTCATTCACTGCTCCGTCAAGCACTCACTGTATCTCCTCATAGATGGAACGTCTGCACCTTATTTACCCTCTGCAGAACGAGGCTGCACGCCAACATTTTCCAAACAAAGCAGAACAGGCTGCAGCAATAGCAAGTTTGTGCATGTAGTCCTTCTCAAGCAAGCGCAGCCGACTGGAGCCCACAGAATTGACGCTCTGCAATGCTTTTTTCCTCTAAGTGAGGTTTAGAATATACGCAGTTCACATAATCTGGTCGTTAAATGTTTGAAGATCCACTCATTTCTAAAACACTGTCATCTAAGAGAGACAAAAGAAACCCAACTAAAGTAATGGTCAGAGTTGCCATATTGAAATTTAAGGCGTGTTGATGGATTCATGTCTTCAACTCATGCGTTGAGTAACATTACAAGTTAACGTTCCACCTTAAAAGTCTCCGGCAGTCGGCCCAGTGAATTAAGTTATTTTTTCTCTGACTCCAGCCGCTGCGAGAGGCAGCAAAACGTCCTTTCATTTTATAGTTGTAGTTTACTAATGTAAAACTCTCCACAGTATGAACAGTGGTTACAAAACCAGTCACAACTCAGCCCTGAGCAGAGTGACTGTCCTCTAATGACCAATCAACAGACTGCAGTGTTCACAGCTCCACCTTTTAGTACCAGATCTGTGTGCAAGGTACCCCAACAGAGGGGGAGCAAAAATGAGGACGTACGGAACGGTTCCACTGGTACCATCCACAACTTCTCACAGTGGAAACAGAAAAAATGCTTTCCGAACTGAACCCTACTGTACTGCTCAGTGGAAACGGGGCTTAAGTGACTAATTGGAACAACCTATTTTGAAAGTGGTCCAGTATTGAACGAGGAGACTGCGGGCTGCAGCGGTGATGCTCAATCCTGACGATTGACAAGCTCAGTGTCTGACAACATCAACAACAACTCGCGAGAATTCAGAACAGTCAAGCTAAAGGCAAAGAAGAACATTTTATTTCTCTGTGTGAATCACTATGCACGTGTGTGTCAGTGTGATCTACATGTTTGGGCGTGTTTGTTCCGACCCACCCTGCGCAGACAGCTCCAGCGGCGACTCAAACTCGACAGAATAAGGCCTCATCAGATTCTTCAGTTTCTGGAACAGCTGTTGGGCCAAGATAAGAAAGCAAACACCAATTAATCCTACTGCACTTGGATACACTCGCAGCAGGGGAGTCTGCATCTTTAGACACCACAACACACAAACATAAAGACACACACACACACAACAACGGCAATGAATCCAGCTTATTACTGACAAAGAGACGTATGCACATTCTTCCTGAGCAGTGAACAAAGAGGACAGGAAATGAGGTGAGCGTACAAGTTGCTAAGGTGCTTGTCTTCATATAACCTCTCTGCTCTTTCATGAAACGAGCTTGTCAAAGGTTTAGTAGTCATTCCCATGTTCAGGAAATTAAGAGAGAGAAGATTAAAATCAGCGAACTTATCTGAAAATGAGAGATTTGAGATGCCAGCTGATAGCTTGTATTTTTAGTCTCGCAAGTGTTTTTTTTCTCCTCATTCCACATTTGAGATTTTGCGCTGAATGAAAATTAATGGATGACACACACAGTCATCCATCAACCAAAAATGTGAAGCATTTGGTTTCAGCTTCTCAAATGTGAGAATTTTCAGATTTGTCTCAGCATTGTGTCACTGTAGATGGAAGTCTTTGTGGTTTTGGACCCAAAAAAAGCACTTTTAAGACACCACTTTAGATTTTTGATGGTGATTTTTAGACTTAACCATTGTTTGATCAATCAAAAGAACAGAATGACGGATTTATCAGTAGTAAAAATAATCATTAATTGCAGCCCTAATTACGTAATGACAGCTTAATTGGAGCAGTACAGAGATTTTAGGTTTTTCCGTCATCTCTCCCGCAGCGTCTTGTGTCACTGACGCGGTGCCGTGCACATTAAAAATTGAAGCCCCCTAATTTCTTGCTCCAATTTAGTCACGGGGGGGATTTTGATACCCCTCTGTCAGAGATATCAAAGGCCAAACGCGCCTTTGTTTTTCACTTTATGATGATAAAATGGAGGTGGAGAAGAAAAAGCAGCTTTCATTCCTTGTGTTTGCAGTCCTTTGAAAAAGATAAAAGAAGATGGCTACGTGCCAGATGTGGAGGAGAGAGGCTGGTTGGGGAGACAACATGGCTCGTCTGTGGTGCAGAGAGAGCTGGAGGCAAATAACAAATTTCAAATAATGTGTTGCAAGATAGTTTTCTCTCTGTCCTGTGCGGCGTCTTACGAACTCACTGGCGGTCGCTGCCGAGGCTGACGCAGATTTTGTGCTGACCGAAACGTGCTTGAAACTGGGTCACTGCCGCTCTGACCTCCTCACCTGCTGTTCTCCATCCCCAGCCTTTGTTTTCATTCCTGCATCCCCCAACTGTGCTTCAGAGCAACTATTATATCTAAGTGCTGAGGTCTTTGTGATTGAAGTGCAGCCTGCTCCACATTTCGCACAGCAGAGTTTTATCCAGTAATCACAGAGCAGTTTTTTCAGCCAAGTAATTTGGCCTTGTCACCTATCTTTTCTGTCACATTCACTTTCATGTATATGCAGCTCCTGGAAAATTCAAAACTGAGAGAAACGCGGCAGATTTTCTGTCCTTATATGACATGACTTTCATATCTATAAAACAACCCCAGAACAAGACAACACAGAGAGAACATTATCATTTCAAAATCAGCTTTTGTTGTGCTTAACAAGCCAGACCCCTTTGATATTTGCTGAGTGATTTTATGACTCATGAATTAAGCATTGTGTTTTTACTTTCAAATGGAGAGGGGGTGGTTTAATTTACCTCTCTGATGAAGTCACTCGATCATGACTGCAGGCTGCATGTCAATATTTATGAGCCTAAATTTAAGATATATAAGACTGACGCTCCCCCAAGCACAACCTCACATATTCATATGCAGCGTGTGAACGTGCATCAGAGAGTGAGTGTGCGTATGAAGCTGCAGTTTGTGACCTGAGTCACTTTGTATGTATGGCATGATTTCAGATCTGCAGTCAGGAAGCTTTAGCTCAGCGTGTTGCTTTGATATTTGAAATGACTTCCTGGATGTTATTAATTTAAGTCCTGTCGGCTACTGTTGTGTGTTTGTAAGTTTTTTTGTTTTATGCCGTCTGGAGGAGGGCAGCATTTGGCAGCTTTTAAAGTTACTGTTTAAAAATTGATTGAATGGAGACCCAGGCTGACTCCATTTAAACTTTGGCAAACAGAGACTGGCTTGGAGTGAAATGCTCTGTTTATGATGGACTGTCTCTGTGTGGAGGTTATGTTTTTATGAAGACAGTAAACAACAACAACAACAACAACAAAAATCAACAGTTAAAGGTCCAGTGTGTAAGATTTAGGGGCATCTACTGGCAGAAATGATATCTAAAACTCGTTTTCATTAGTTTATAATCACCTGAGACTAAGAATTGTTGGGTTTTTGTTACCTTTAAAATGAGCAATCTATATCTACATACGGACCATGTCGTCCTACAGTAGCCCATAATGTACAAATTTAACACTGGCTCTAGATAGGGCCATAAGCATTTTTGCGTTAGCCGGTGTAGTTGTAGGTGCGGCTGCAGCTGGAGCAACTATGTGAGTGACCTGCTCACCAGCTACATGATTCGCTCTCCATACCCACACAATCAGCCCCCTTCGCTTCGTCTGGAAGTGGAAGCCCCAAAGAAAATGTTAAGAGAGGCGGTTAAGGTTAGAAGTAGGGCACATCTCCTGTCTTCATGTATTATGAATAAAGTAAATTTATTAAGTGGATTATTGCCACGCTTGGCCTCATATTTTTTCACTGTATCAGCATGATGTAGCAGGGTTCAAAGTGTCATGTTGTTGGGTTTGTTTTGTGCTGATGGTGGGAGTTTCCTGTAGGCTTTAAACAGAATATGGCTGCAGCTTTACATGTCTCTAATAGGAGAAGATTCACCACTAGATGCCATTAAAACCTACACACTGGAGCCTTAAAGGAAAATGCACTTTATGGTCAAAAGTGTGCAGACACATACTTAAGTGTATTTTTATTCTGGGGTGTTTTTTCATAGTTTGAGACCTGCAGTGTTGGTGTGGGCGTGTTGATTCAGGCACAAGTGAGTGAATTGGGATCCAGAGAGTCACCTTTGAATCGTAGATCCATTGGTTTGAAGGCTTATCAGCTGCTTAAAAACTGGACAGCAGTTTAAATATACCAGGATTTTACATCTCTGGAAAGTTATCACAGTGGCAATCATCTGAATCCAATCTGAACTGCTCCCATGTTGTCTGAACATGGCCTCACACTGTACATCTGGATACGCTGATTGTAGTTAAACCATTTGAGGCAAGTGATTACCCTCAAAAGATTAAAACTAAGTAATCTGAGTCGTAAGTGCTATATCATAGGCAACTGGACTTGCTTGCGTTTCTTGAAGACGTTTCACCTCTCATCCAAGAGGCTTCTCCAGTTCTAAATTGAAGAAGCTTCTTGGATGAGAGGCGAAATGTCTTCAGGAAAAGCAAGCAAGTCCAGCTGCCTACGTTATAGCACTTACGATTACCATGACCTGGATGATAAGTAATTTGAGTGAAACTGACTTAAATGGTAATAAGCTTGGCAGCAGGGCTGGGCGGTATGGCCTAAAATCAATATCATGGTATTATTTTGGGGGGATGCGGAGATGGTATGATATCGCGGTATCGGGCGCCCTTCTCCCACGGGCCTGGGTTTGGTGCCGTCAGCCAGGCCACCTCCATCACGTAGCGAGGGAGGTGCATGAGGCAGGCCGGCCGGCCCTACTTGGCAGTGACAATGTGCATTAGAGTCTGTTCAACTCAAAGATGCCAGTGAATATAATGTTGCCCTCATACTAGCACAATTTACTAAGTAGGGTGGGACGGTATGAAAAATCATAATCCGGTTTGATATTAAGCCAAACACCAGACTGGACTGGTATACAGAATTATACCAGGTGTCACCAGTCACGAGTGGAGTATAACAATGCCATGTCCCAAAAGCAAATGAGTGTCAGACTATCGCGTTGCATCACGTATCTCTGTCCACATTGAATCCAATAAATACGCACTTCTGTTAGGTCTACAACATGTAAACAAACCACATCAATATTAGCTGTTTGTTTGACGTCAGACTGAAGACATAACCACTTCAAAGATAAGTGAGTAGCACACTTGCTATCTTCCTGCTTTGTTACATTACTTTTTTCAACGGAAAACACATGATTTATATTGTGATATTTAATGGATATAACAATATAGCCAACAGCAAGTAGCCTAGTTTGTTATTAATGAGGGTCATTTAGCTCACCAGAAACTTACAGCTCCCTGGTGGTCTTTCTCCAGCCAGCCTCTACCTTATTAAGGTTTTTGTAGTGAAATATAAAGGTATCCTGTAGATAATTCCTCATCTTAACTTCATGAATCAGCAAAGCAAGCAACAGATATAAATAGGAACACGCCATCCGATAAGAGTTGAGCTCACAGTAGCAGTGCTGTACCCAGGCAGATGTGGAGGACTCAGCCTATATGGGGAGCACACTCTACTGCGTGAGCTAGAGGTTGCCCAGTGCTGTGTTGCTTGCGGTTATTTAGGGCATACATGTTGGCTTAAAATCCAAAATGTTGCCATATTGGTGCATTTTTTGTTTACTTGCCATGTCTCCTCTCGTCACCAAAACACATGAACTTCAGTGTAAACAAACACTGTGTGCCGCTCTGCCCCTCTCATCTCCTAAAATGTGACCTCCGTCATGTTGCCCACACAGGCCTTGACTCACAGCCGGTCAGAAACTAGTGGCTCCATTAGTCTGTTAGTCCATTGTCACATTGTTCATGCAATACATGTTGGATTTAGTGCCGTGGTGTCATCAGCGCACGTTGCCCATTTAGATGCCTTTTAACCCTATGGGCCCTAGGCGTTTTTGGGATATTTTTACTCCCTTTACTTTTAAGCTCATATCACAGTCATTGTAAAGGCTACATACACATGCTATATCTTGTTTTTTCCTGACAATCTGGGCTAACCAGATTTGCCATCATTTCATGTCCTTCTATGTGCCTGTATTTTATATAAATTTTTATATCAA